TCTTCTGTGGTTTTTAAGAGAAACCAAATAAATGTACTGCACACATTTCAGCAGAGTCACCACGTCAGTGTTCAGCAAGATGCTCGGTGTAAGCTTACCTCTGGACAACAGGCTGCTGCTGACCTTTTTGCAACACATCTTGTAATAACCAAAGGTGCTAGTAAAATTAGTATGTTTAGACGTACCAAAGAAAAAAAAAACACTTTCTGCCTGGGCATGAGATGATTGCACAAAACACCTGGGTGGTTTTTTTTTAATGAAACACCATGGTCTGTGAATTATTCTTTGTAACAGCAGTTGGCAAACCTTGGATGCATCTAGCTTTCAGCATCCTTCCCATGGACATGAGGTGGGGGTCCCACTATTCTTGCAGTTTCAAAATCAAAAGTAGATCAGTAGGACTGTTTGTTACTACACACTGTCTTCAGCTACAGGGGAAAGAAAAAACACCAACTACAAACTGTTCTCTTTGTGCACCATTGACTTCTGGGTAGTACCATTTTACCCTCAAACTGTGGCATTGCCTGATACTTGAGATGCCAAAAGGTGAAAAAGCTGAATGCACCTCTAAGCACAGCAAATTCTTGAAAGTGGTGCCCCACAAGCCATAGCTCTTTATCTACCTGCTAGTGCTCAGTTTACATCATTACCATCTTCTCTAGAGATCAGGGTTGTAAATACTTGCCTTAGCAAATGCAACAGTGCTGTACTTTTCTCATTGCCACTGGTGTCAACATAGGAAATGAAGTCTCTGCATGGGGTTTGTAATGCTTCCTGAAATGCTGCAGTGCTCAACAAGTGACTCTATGCTCTCAATGCACATACTGCTCTCAGTAGAAGCCACAGCACTATGGTCTTTCCAACAGCATCCTTTAGCAGCTTCCAACAAGTTGCCCTGCAGACAATACAAATGCCACCTCTTTCACATGATGTCCTGTTCCACCTCTGGGAGGAGAAGCCCTGTAAATGCTCCCAGTTTACTAATCCGCATGAAGTCCCATCCTTTCTGGAAAGGAAAACATTAACATTTTGCTTTTGATTTATACCTAAAGCCCAGCAACGCAAATAATAAAAAGAGCTCATTTCCAGCAGAGAAGCACATTACCACCTCTGGTCAACAATACGCACATACACACCAGGCAGGCAGCCTACCCTCTGCCAGAAAAGGAGCATCAGTCCTGCTGCTGCTTCACTTTTCATGATCAACTGAAACGCCCTAGATAAAAGCACCACTTTTCAGACACTGTGTTACTGCAAATGTCAACTTTGGCTGCCACCAAGAACCCCCGGCAGCACAGCAAGTAAATGCTCAGGAGCTGTGAAAGGAGAACGAACTGGTTTAACAAGAACTAGCTGGATCTAAGGCTTCCTGGCATCCACTGATAAGCCACACCGCCACAAATCACTGGCACTGTGGGGAGCTGTGGTTCAAACCAGCAGCAATCTCCAGCCACTTCAGGAACATCCAACTCAACTAACCACAAAGACAACCCGAGTCACAGGAACACAGTCAGCCTCCAGGTAACACACACCATGCTCTGCCATCTACCTTCGGGCTATGCCACACCTCTTGTCCTCCAGTGAGAGCAATGGCTCTTCAGTCTCACCAGTCAGGCCAGCAAGTCTTCAGGCATAGCTTCAGGTCTGGTGCCTACTACAGTCCGTGGGCACAGGCACACCATCAAGGATGCTCAAGTGCTAAATTTGCTGCTTGCCTGTTCTGCCCCTCTCAGCCCTCTGCTGCATCACTGAGAGAAACAAAGGACATGAAGCTATCATCATAGAAAGGTTAAAAAAAAAATACTACAATGTGGTGCGACACCTGCCACCTCAGCCATGTCTCTGAGGCTGGAAAGAAGGCACCAACATAACCTGCTTCAGCACTAGACAGGGTTAGACTCATAGGACCTCCTCTCGCACAGGCACATGGTGGCGAGGCAGCTGTAGTTAATATCAGCAGCCCTAGCAAGGAAGGAATCTCGAACACAGCAAACCAAGGCAAGATAGACCACTAGAGGATGCTGACTGATTTCTGTGCACAATAAAAACAGCTGGCTGGGCTAAGGCAGCTCTCTCAAAGGGAGAAACATACACATTTTGGCCATACAGCATTCTTTGGGCTATTCTGGAGTGTCTCCTTCCCCCACCTCTCTCATGCTTACACACTGCTGATCAACAGCCTGTGATGGAGAACACCTTCAGCTGTGGCAGCAGAGCTCAGTGAAGAGATGTGCACCTATCTATCTGAAATACTGAGGTGTTCCCCCCCTCCTTCTCCACCCCCTTTTTAAAATAAGCATGTGAAATAAAAAGGAGTGGGGCAAATAAAGTTTTGGAGAAGGAGAAGTACAAGGGACAAAACTGGAAACACAACTCTTACTGACTTTACTAGCATGCAATCTATGTAACTGTAATATACACAGCCTGTTTACCTTGGCCTGGTCTATGACCATTACATCACATCATCCCCAAACAAGCCACAGAATTAAAACCTGTACAAAATAAAAAAATATGCGTAAACCCCAACAGATTTCTTTCTTTACATTAGTACTGCATAATAAAGCATAAAACCAGCAGGAGGTGACCCAAAAATTCCATCCACAGCAGCTCTTGCAGGATAAACAATTCCACTTGCTATCAGCAGGTACTAGATTAACCCCTGGCCCCTTAGACCAAGGCCAGTTCCTTAAGGAGCTTCACCCATTCCACTCTCAAGGTTTTGCAGCCTCATCTTCCATGCTGTGTTCGGGCAAGTGTTCAGCACTTCCCAGGGTTCACAGTGCTCTGCTCTCACAACACAGAAAACTTGCAAGATGACCAACCAGCCGAATGAAGAACAAGGACACGGGTGTGTGCCACACATGGAGGAGGTACACACTACACCCACCCACCCATCAGAAGTATTCAAGCGCATGCTAACAGACCTAGTCAAAAACACATCTCACCAATGCATGACCTCCCAGCTGGACCATGCATGCACAGGGGGAGAGGTTCCGCTCTCGTTTAATAACTCCCTAAGCTGCTGTAAGTTGATGCAATTGAGCATCATGCTCAAGTCTTTACCACAGACACACCCAGAGCAAGAGAAAGGAGAAAACCACTGATAGTCCTGGAAAACACAGCCACCCTGTGAGCACCAAAGGCTTGTGCAATACTACTGTTCCATCACCTGGGCTGAGAGCACTGCCTCCTTGTGCAAAATGCGTAGGCCTGCCCTATGACAGTAGAAACCTGTGTTTCTAGGCTTGCTCCCAGAGAAACAGTGGGCTGAGGGACCTGACCATGGCTGCTTCTGTTAGTCTTGCTGCAAGTCACAGATTTTCACAGAGGCAGGTAGTGGACTGAAAGGGGGAGAAAGTAACTTCTATCTTTATACCAGTTTCTTCAAAGTTGTACCACCTGTAGGCTTCAACCAAACTAGCTCCTTATGCACTGTCACAGGAGTTAACACACTCTTCCACAAGCTCACAGAGGTGATCATATTCATCCATGTCACACAAACACATCTCACCTGTTTGTTTCCTCTTTCTTCCTCCTTAAGCAGCTATGGTGCCTCCCGCCCCAGGTTCGCATTGAACCTACACCTCCATCCTGATACCGCACTGATCACCTGACAAGGGCGCTGGGTCAGTTACCTGTATCCTTGCCAGAATTGTCACAAACCCAGCCCTGATGCCCTCTCATGAACTGCTCTGTTCTACACACGGGCCTCAGAAGACAGCTGCAGCATTGTCTCGCCTTTGGGAAGCTACTGCTGGTACCAGCTGGAACTCAGCCAAGTGACAGAAGTTGTTCGGGAAGATGCCCTGGCCCAGGGATCAGCTCAATTTGCAGGCTAACAGGACCACAACTAGAGATTTAATCAGCTCACTCTATTAATGCATGACATTTACCCAAAGATAACATTTGGTCCTTCCTGAGGGCAGGCTAGTGCAGCCATCGTTTTACACTGATCTGCTGGGCAGAATCACTGAGCAGCATTTTCAACTGAGACTAGATTAAAAGCAAACTAGCAACACAAGGGGCTACAGAGCCTTCACTTGATAATAACTCCACCCAGATCCACCAGTCAGCTCAAAATACCTATTTCTTTATAATAAACAATGGAGAGGGATGGGGGAAGAGCTAGGACTACTACTAGTTACTGCTTGGATTTCCATGGGAAACCAGTACACACAACAGCCCTTTTCACTTCCACTGAAGAGATTTTGGCAACAGACATGAAGACGACAATTGTCGTTTGTCCTGCCTCTGCACAGGGCTCTCACAGTACATATGCAAATCTAGTCATCAAGTACAAAATAGCCAATTTACAATACCTGATTGGATTTTTAAGATTATATTGTGCATAAGACTAAAGTCAGGGATAAGTTTCTCTAGTGCAAGCAGGTGTGAGTAGATTTGAGCCTTAGATCACAGCCCCTAGTTTATCCTTAGACCCCAGGAGAAACTGTAAACTTTGTTTTGCCTTCACCGTCAACGGCATCTGTGAGTTCTGTTTAAACCAGCAGCACCCATGGCAAGTAGCTCGCTGTGGAAAGGAGCACATTTACATCAGTGCAGAACACAAAACAAACTGGTGGCATTCAAAAGATGAGGAAATGGGGGTAGGGGTCCTCTGGGCTGCAGCCATTTTAATTGCCTAAACTGAAAGGTGAGTAAATGAAAGCCGGCTCTGTGTGCCCCTGTGTCAGCCTACATGTGCACAGCAGCTGCAGAAGTGTTTATGCTAAAGACGTAACCAGCTATCTGGAAGTCAGTTACAGGAACGGCTCTGTGTAAAATCCCAGTTCGCTAGTACATGACTTCTTCCAGCTGCATGGGAGCGTAGTGCAGGAACAGGAGGGATGTCCACTGGCTGGTAACCCTTCACCGCAAGCATCCAGGACATCCCAAGTGCCAGGCACTGCTGCCAAGGGTAGTACCACAAGGGCACACAGGATTCCGAGACATATCCCAAAGCCTGTCAGAAGTCAATTTTAGTGATCAGCTACTCAATGAGTTTGTTACATCTGAATGGGTCAGCTTAATTCAGCGTCAGATGGTTCAGGATAGCCTCTGCTGGCAGATGGAAGAGCCATTTGTTCAAACAACTCAAATCACTATTGGTTTATAATGGGGGAGGATGGGAAGAGGGAGGGAAGAGTGGTTGTTACAGTTATCCTTCATTCAGTTAGACTGGATGTGGCCCCAGAGGCTGGTGGAGATCTGGGAAGCCCTGACAGCTCCTGCAGCAGGAGATGCAGTGTTCTGTTCTCTAATCTTCACTCCGAGTAATGCATGATCGACTCCACATAGTTCCCTGGGAAGAGCCCCGTCACTCCATTCATGACACCCTCATACCAGCCGTCGTCATTTTTCTTGATGACATAAATGATGGCACCTTCCTGAAATGACAGCTCATCTTCTTTGTCCTTTGTGTAGTCATATATTGCCACCACTAGGAAAGAACAGAGCCATGATTGTTAGGAGAGGTAGAGGGAGGAGAAGGAAAAAAAAAAAAAAAAAAAAAAAATCAACCTGTCTCATACAAAGTTGCCCGCACTCAAGGCAATCTCACAGAGCTGCAGTGCCTCATCTCTGTGTGTGCAGAATGACCTGCTGAAAGCGTCAGCTTCTTCTAACCCTTTTTATATGAACTCATGCTTTGAAGCACATAAGGCAGGACCACTTTAACTCTTCTATTCTTACTATTTCCAGACCCACCAGAGGAGTTTACAAATACAAAATAAACTTTTGGTGTGGAATGATACAAGGAGGCAGATGTAACTCCTCATGGCTATGACTGCTTAGACCTACTTCAGAGTTCATGTATTAGACATACGGGCTAAACCACATCTCTGAACAACTAGCAGTCAAAGAGGAAGAGCAGCAAGTGCTCTTTTTGGATCATGGTAAGAATGAACCAAGGCTAACGTCTCAGACTTCCATCTACCTTAGTTACCTCCACATGTAAATGTGTAAAATGCCTATGTGCAGCCCCAGTAGCTAGAAGTCACTCCCAGAGTCTACAGTGCCAAAGTAGCTCCCAGTTCGGAAGTAGGAAGAAGTAAGGTAGTTCTCTGAATCAAAATGTATGCCTACTATATCAGGACATTTTTGTTATAGCTGCAGAATATTTTACTGAAGGCACAAAAGCTGTCAGTAAAGTCAAAGAAATTAGCCAAAGCTCTGGCAAATGTTAAAGAGATCATTGTCCTGAAATGGCAGAAAATAGACATCAACTCAGTATGTTTTTCCATTCTCAGTCCTCCCAACCATTATGTGTTCCATACAGAAAATCAGCTATGCTGGACTCTGAACACTTTAACAAATAGCATCAGTCACTGCTTTGAGCACTTGGCAATGAAACATGCAATGCTGTCACTGAAAGAAAATGGATGTTGGTTAGGGATCTTAAAATCTTGTACTGGGGACAGAAGGGAAGATACTCTGAACAAAAGCAAGGAGAAAAAAATTAACAGCATGTGTTCATGAGCACAGTGTCCAAGAGTTCTACTAAACTCATCGTTCCATTCAAAAGAAAAGAGGTCATTTCCTTTTGAGGAGCAAAAGGAATCAATACAAATATTTACTAGGGAAACCTGGATCCTGAGAAGATTATAAAGTAAAATATACAAATCAATCTCAGTAGAGAATCAGAGTATCTATAAAGGTTTTTGGGTTGTTTTTTTTAACAAATCTCCCAAACAGGAGAGTTGTATCATTTGACCAGAGCATAGTTAAAAAACACATGCTGCTGGTTCTATGCTTATGCCATCACCGTTGTGCAGTAACTCATTCTAACTAGTTTTAGACGTATCATTTCAAGGAAACAAAACACAAATGGATAAATTAATAAAATTTTAGCTTGAAAAACCAAAGTTGCTATACAAACACGATAGTCAATTAAAGTCCTTCAAAATTCCTATTTAACTGCCTTCTCTGAACTATGTGTTCATTTAAAAACATTTCTTCCTAAAGTCACTGTGCTGGTCTTCAGTCTCTTGATAATAATCCAAAGATCACGGTAACTTACAATTCCTTTCTTTCTCATGTTTAAGTGTAGTCTAGTCCCTTCTCATACTGAATGGTTTCACTATTTCATGATCACAAGTAGGAAAAACTCTCTCCTAATTTTGTGATGAAAATTTGCTTCTTGTTAAGCCTCTTATAAAATTACCTGAAGCCTGGTTTTGTTTTTACACCACCATTGCTTTCTCCTGCATGTTAATTTTGTACTGGCAACGTTTCCCTCTCTAAAAGACTGTTCCATCATTCTGCCTGTAGTTCCACCAGTTCAAGCTGTGAGCTTGTCATATACCATGAGTTACCAGGAGCCCAGGCCAGTACTGCAAAAAAGGCTCCAGATGAGACACGAAGCAGCAATACTGACTCAGGAGGTGGCACCCGTCTCTGTGAGACTGAGCCAGGACCTCTCTTCTATCTGAAACACGTTCAGATAGAAACTCAGGTAGTTTCTATCTGAACATGTTTCAATGTACATATGAAAACCATAATTACTCATTTAGGTTAACAGTCTTCCAATCGGAGATCTTTGGTCCTTCAGCAATTACACAGTTTGGCTGACCCCTGTTACATCAATCTGACCACAAACACAGGCCAGACTGATAATCCAACTGAAATCTAATAGCTGTGACCACACCCCTTCTCTATGTGGTGTGAGGGCAGTTTTTCCCTCTGGATACCCATTTCTGTTTGTTTGATTTGCAAGTTGGGACATTTTCTTACCTCTTCATGCCATGGACCCAGACAGAGAGCTCAATGGAAAACTGCAGAGCATTTCCCTGCAGGTTGGCTGTTGCTATTATAGCAATGTGTTAGCGCCCTCAAGTTCAACATCCCCTGTAACTGTATCCTACCTAAGAGTTTCTCCATCTGTTCAAAATGGATTTGCTATTCACTTCTTCCCTAACTGTAGGTTAAAGCATGTCTTAATGTTAAATACACCTCCCACAACGCATGACCCATTTACAGAACAGGATCACACTGAATCCCGTCTCAATGTATAGGTATCCCCTGCATTTGACACCTCCTTGGTGTCCCAGCTTCTACATTCTCACTTCTGCAAAGGTTATCTACACTAATCCTATTAGGAACACTTTCATATGAACTTATTTAAGTCATCAGCCATACCAAAAGAACAAGCACAAATCCTAGGAATTGCTGCTCTACCTATCGGGGGTAATAGTGTCTCACCAGCCATTTCCATCAGTTTTGTCCTCTTTGAATCGTGTGGCACAAAATACTATGTGCTGAAACTTCAGGAGTTGCCATAGGAATAATTATTTTACAGAAGATAAAGCATTATTAGGCCACAAGCAGGATAAGTATACACATTCTTTCAGTATGAAAGTCCTCTTTTAGCATGGGGCTTTTCATTAACTTCAAAGCTTATTTGCTACCCAGACAAAAAAGTAAATCATGGCCAAGCACTGTTCTCCCAGCTAGAACAAAGCAGTCAAATCTCAAGACAAGGGCTGTATAGAAGAAAAGCTATTCATGTAACTCGAACAGAATCTACACCTATGTCAATATTTCATTTTTTCTGGTACTGTAAAGCTACTACAATGTATGAAGAAGTTTTCATTAGTTTTATGAGTATTTCTCAGAACAGAGCAACCTTGTAGATGTTTTAGTCATCTAGTTTTCAAAATCCTGATCAAAATTATGTTTTTGCACGGGCCTCTACATTGATATGAGAGAATGTTTGGTTTCCTATACTTATGCTTGTCTGCGGAAAAATGGTCTGACTAAAAGCCTGACTTTCTCCAGCTTATCCTTAAAGATTCACATTTCACATTACAGTTTTGCTATCCCATGTCATTTCTTTAAAGAGAAAGTTGTTTTCCCAAGCCATGTGCCACATGAAATCATGGCTTCTCTTCCCCACAAGCACACACACAAACACCCACACCCCCTTTGCATTATTTGCTATAAAAAGGCAATGCGCATGAGGGCCCTCTTTTTTGCTCCTAGCTGAAATGCCACTGAGGATTTGCTAAGGGTCAGGTAGCAGGAATAACAGAAACATTACAAAGACAGTGACATTAGCTGTCGATCAGGGGTGTGAAGAGGTCAACAGACAGAAGTGTCTCACAAAAGGTCTCAGCTTGTCAGCCAAGCTTGGGTACTCCTTGCACTAAACACACCAGCTAGACAGAGGCTGGGAGAATAACAAAAAACCTCCCACATATTCCTCCATCTCCCTCAGGAATAGAAATATTTCCTTTGGGCTGGAGTTGGCAGAAAGCACCACCTCCATCTTCTTTTCCTCCCTCCCCTGAAGTCCTGCACTGGCTTTATCTTTGTGGCATTCTTGATTATTTTTCCCTGATGCAAACTGAATGTTTCGAACAGTCACTCAGCTGAGATGTCTAGCCGCTTTACAACCTGAGATCTTCTGTCACCATTTACTAAGAGGTACATGACCCTGTTTCACAGGAGAACACCAGGCTGTAGATTTTCCACATTCAAGTGCCCCTAAGCCATTTACCTACCCAGTTTATTTTACCTGTGGTTTTACTCCAGCATGTTTCCACACACCTGCATTCACCTAGATGCAGCCATGAAGCAGTATCTCAGTCCTATGAAGACCCAGTGCTTTTTGTCTTAGCAAAGCCTCACACTGATGCAGCATTGCATCTTTCAGAGCCCTGTTTGCAGCACCTCTCCAGATACATGCATATGTTCAAAGTTCAAAGTGCAACTGCAGCAGCGATTCATTCATTTTTGACCTCATACGAGTTTGAATATCAGGATTAAGCAGACTACTGAAAGGTGACTCTTAAATGATTACAGAGAATTTAAAAAAGTATGTAATTAGCCAGCTAATCATTATCTTTCTTCTGTGAAGAAAAGGGGAAAGAATCACTTAACTTCTGTTCTTTAAATTGCCATTTGGAGGAGCACCTTTACCACAATACCAAACACTGGCTACAAAGGAGTTTAGGAAGACTCTATGTCCAAAGCAGGATGTCAGGAGCTTACACAAAATTATTATTGGAAATACAATGCTATCATCTCTACTAGCTCTAAACATACCCTTTTCTAAGTAGGTCCTTGGTGCCCAAGGAGGGTCCTCCTCAGCATACGGATCACTGTACTCCACCACAGCTGCTTCCTCCTCCTCATAATCCTCTGGAGGTGGTGGTGGAGGTGGAGATTCATCAAACACTGGCTCATCCACAGGCGGTGGTGGGGGAGGAGTATCTGAAACTGAAAATGAACAGTAGTATAACCATGAAAATGTCTGTAGAACCATGGTAGCAGGTTGAAGAAATACTCTCTATCCCAAATAGTTGCATTGGGACCAATAGTTACAACTTGTGGAAATAACACTAGAGACAATAAAATTCAGAAAAGGAAGGATCAGGTTTCGCCAAGAAAATTATTTCCTTTTCCCTCCGTTCACAATTTTGGATGAACTTGCAGAGGCAGTAGAGCAGGCAGAATTCTGGCTATATACAGACAAATCTTTCATCCATTCAAACACCACATCCAGTAATATGTCATAGCACAAGGAAGCAGCAAACTTACTGTTTTCTTGAACTCTGGCCACAAATCCCATTAGCGGTAACTGTGGAGTTACCTGTAGGATGGAGGGGGGAGGAGGAGCAAGGGATGCTGCCACAGAAATTAAAAAGAGAGGCATTCAGTTAGAAACACAACAAAGCAGCAAACAGGAAAGCAGACATCATCACCACTCAGACGGTGTAGCAGTCTGCCAAGAAGCTCACATATAAAGGCTGACATTCCAAGAAAAATGGCTCAGGTGCTTTAAGTGTATTCCTAACCCTTACTTCAAGGAGATGTCTCTGGTTGTAAAATTTCCAACCAGCTCTTTTCTACAAGATTAGGAATCCATTTCTGAAGTATTCTCTTAAGTTGAAGTTTATTGCTACAGCAGGACAGCACTCCATGAACAGACCTAAGTAACAAATCTATCAAGAGGATTCTCTCCCTGTAATCCTCCACCTTTCAGATCAGATTTATATTTATTGAGAGGACTTCTGTAGCAGCATCCACCAATCCTTAGTAATGAAAATTAATATAAAACAACTTTACACCAAAATGTAGGCCAAAAAAATCAATCCAATGTGGCAGCTATTTTATGCAAAAGAGACCACTGCACTGAACTCTGAAAGGCCCCTGTACAATAGATGTGAACTCACACTTAAAGATACGCTCAGCCCGTTGCAATGTTACAACACTGAACTATTGTTTAAGCCAGGAATGAAAGTTTCAATTCTCTAGTTAAGGTAAAAAAGTAGTTACCTAGTTTTATGCAGGTTTAGTATCACTTTGCAAAAATAATTCAGTAATGTTCTTTAAGGAAGTTACAAGATTACTTTTTAGAAAGCACACCTCAGGAGAAGCACAACTAAACAATATGTTAGTAGTGGCATACCAAAACATCTAGGCACATCCAAAAGAATTAGGGGAAAAAGGTCAACACTTCATGTACCAGTACATTTCTTTAGCTTGCAGAACCCAACTAAGTTTCAGACCAATTCCAGAGCCAGTAAGAAAACTGCCAGGTATGATGTAGTATTTTTCAGACTTAATTCACATCATCATAGCAAATGAGAAGAACTTCAGGGCATTTAAAATTCATGTCTCAAAATTTCTTCTGTTGGTTTATTTTATTTCACTAGAACTATTATCTGAAGTGCCTTGAATTTCTTCCGCCACTCACATTCACATTTCTTTCACAACTATACATTCCAAAAAAAAAACAAACAAAAAAACCAAAACCAAAAAAAACCCCACAAAACCAAAACCAACCCAAAAGAGCAACCATCCTTTTTGTTGTAAAAATATCCCTGTGCCTCCATATAAAGCAATTATCCATTATCTCACCATTTAATTGATATTTCTTGAGAAAAAATGAAATAGATTTCTAATTACAGCTTCTCTAAATTGAATGATGTGACCTCTGAGAGTATTTATTCTTTCAAGTGTAACCACAGTAGCTGGAAAAAAATTTGTCTTGCATTTTTTCAGTGCAGGAAAAGGGAACTTAAATTTGAAGTCCTACTGAAATGCAGTAATAGCCATGATTTCAGCATTCTTGTGCAGCTCTGAAGTCCCTGCCTTTTTAATTATATATATACTATAAAAATGCTCAATTTCAAAATGTTTCCTCTATTCAACGTCATATGGAGTCAATGTAATTCATATCTATCATATGAGACTAGCATTTCCTAGGTCCTTTCAGTGTACTTCATTCATACGCTATATATATTTCTTTGAAAGAAATAAAGAGGCTTTCCATGTAGAAAATATATCACTCTAGATAAGCACTCCAAGCAAATAAAAAAAAAAAAATCCTTTAGTTTAGTTTGGGTTATATAGTTTAATCAAAATGGTGATGCTAACACTAGCTGACATCATTCTTTGTTTATCCATTTGATTTGTGCTTCAGTCTATGCATAGTGCAGGGACTATCACATTATGTTGTCTCTATATGATATATAGTGACTCTAATCTAGTTTTGACTTTTAGGAGCCAATACAATAAATATTTTATTAATAATGACTTTGTGTATAAAGTGCATCAGAACTTTACTGTACCTATGCTGTCCCAAAGGATAATATGAATACTAGCTTAAACGCTCCCTCCCAGCTTCTTCCCATGTAGACCATTGGTACATTAAGAGTTCATCAACACAGTTGCTGTACATTAATTCAGAAATACCCAAGAGCACCTTCTACTAGACTGCTTCAGGCTGGTAAGAATTCAGCTACACAAACAGCATATAGTGCAAACCACCACCTCAATACTTGCCCAGTTTCTTCCACAGGGTTTTTAGCCTGTGCTGAACTCTTGTCTTAGATACCTTAGACACTGGTATCTACGGTTGCGAAGTTGAAGAACTTTTTAGGTGGCACAGCTGGCAAGAGTGGCTTTGGGCAGACATATGCTGAGACCATTTAGGGTCTGCATTTCTTAGTATTTTCTTTTCAGTTATTAAAAGGTCTCACCATGAAGTAGAGAAATTATGTTATCTTAGAACTGGCATTCAAAAGAGCAAGACAAGGCAAGGATCCTTCATCCTCCTGTGAGGCAAATAAACAAAAATGGCTATGCCAACATACTAAAAAAACGGAAGTGGAGAAAACAGCCCGCAAAGAAGCACAAGCCACAGCTGGCACATTCCTCAGACTGTTGCAAGGTCTCTTTTTCATCTCTTAAGTTTGTGTTTTCTCCCTCTCTTCAGGAATGCTGAGAGGCAATTGTGGCCCCTGTCCTGTAACTACTAACCCTGTTCTTTACAAACACAACAGTCCTTCCATTCTTAGGGTCTCATCAATTACACATGCTCAAGCATCCTCTCCTTTCAAGGTACAGGCCAAAAAAACTTGGATTAGTATAATTGCAAAGCTAATAATTTCTGTATTCTGCTAGGAATATATATATATATAT